GCGTAGTCTTCCCTTTGCTAAGATAGCGTGAGAGAACGGCGGGGGCTGTGGCCTGCAGTTCCGAACGCGTCAGCCAACGGTCAGCCTTGTGGCTGCCGTAGGAAAAGTGAAGTAGAAACTCTGTTTCTTTGTTGCCATGGCGCCGGTCGGTGATGATGYAGCCGGCCTCCTGAAATCCGTCCATGGAAGGAGGGTCTTGCGTACGTCGGCCGGGAAACTCGTCGGACTCCGCTGAAACAAAAGGAGCGAGTTTGGAACAGTGGAACACCGTGTGGACGGGCAAGTGAGGTGGCACCGCGATGCGGAATGAGGGCCCCTCGGGATCATCACCAGCTGCAGAGAGAATGCGCTAAGGCCCCATCCACTTGAGAAGGAGCTTGCGAGAGATGTTTTGCTCAAGGCTGAACTCCGCTRCGGAGACCCAAACCAGATCGCCGGCGCGGAACGGGCAAGGAAGGCGATTGCGGTTGGCTTGACGGCTCATCCGTATTTGCATCTTCGACATCTGATCCCGTGCCTTGCATGCGACGAAGGAACACAAGATGGTCGTCGCTCTCGACTGTGTGCGTCAAAGTAGCGTCCAGCGGCGATGAGATGGGTGAACCATGCTCAAACTCGAACGGCGACATCCCGATAGCCGGGTGGATCGATGAGTTGTAAGCCAACTCAACGTCTGGCAAGCGCTCAACCCAATCAACCTGGTCGGGACGGATGAGAGTGCGGAGAGTGGTCTGATGCGCCCTTTCCATTTGACCATCGGTTTGCGGATGGCGAGCCGAACTCGGCTTCAAAGATGAGCCCCATCCCTTGACGAGGGCGACCCAAGAGTCGGAGAGAAAGCGAGTGTCCCGGTCGCAAACGATCTCCTTGGGGTAGCCCTTGGAGCGAATCCAACCGGTGTATAAGACCTCGGCTAACTCCGGTGCCTTTGCGTGATAGCGACAAGGCAAAAACATGGAGTACTTGGTGAGGCGGTCGACGACCGTGAGGATCCCATCAACGCCGGTCTTGTGCTTCAGGAAGGGGCCGGTGATATCCATAGCAATTGCTTCCCGTCGCCCAAGGGGTACTGGTAATGGGTGTAGCTTGCTGAACGAACGATGGTTGCGTGACTTGCAACGCCGACAAACTTCGCACGACTCACAATAGCGGGTGGCGTCCTTGAGAAGGTCGGGCCAATAGAACCGCTGGCGAAGTCGGCCAAGTGTACGGTTGACACCAAAATGTCCGGAGGCGGGCGCATCGTGAAACTCGCCAAGAAGCCGTGTGC